CTCCCTGTAGATTAAAATGAACCACATGGTACTATTTACCTTTAGAAATGTCCAGAATCCAAGAGCAAAACATCTCTATGGGACGTACATAAACAGTCCAATTCTTGTGTCCGTAATGACTTTCAGTTAGAATTACTGCCAGTTTTGAGTACTGAAAATATTTTAGGAATTGTAATTATTTTATTTTTATTATGTAACTTTTATTCAGCAGTCAGATAAACATCCTGAGTGTTATACCAGACATGGTAGCACATGCCTTTAATTTTAGAACTCTGGAAGTGGAGGCATTTAGATCTCTGTGAGTTTGAGGTCAGCTTGGTCTACATAGAAAATACAGACCAGTCAGAACTAAACAGTAAGACCCCCAGCTTAAAACACAAAGCAGCACAAACAAATAACAAGAACAGCAGAACCCAAAGAATTCTGAGTGTGAACAAATGATATTTCGTGAGTATTAATACTGGGATGATGTGATAAGGGATTATAGAGTGAATAAGTGAGTGACTATCCTCACACCGGAAGTTGTTGTAGAGGCTCAGGCTGATGTTAATAGAGCCTGAAACAGAATAGCAGCAGCAGAGAAGAGTCCCACGGACACTTTGAGACAGGTGACTTGCTGACAAGGGATGAGTTAAAGCAGACTTCCAATTTTCAATCCTGTGTAACTGGAGGAACGATAGTGGTTTCTTGGAAATTAAGGAGTGACAAAGAAGATGTAGACTTACTGACTGAAGTGTCACTGGTGTCACTGCTCTATGTCACCCAGGAATGATGAACAACTTGTCTGCACACATCTGAAGGTGCTTCAGTAGCACAGCAGGCGGTGCCCCAGTTTTACTACACACATCTGAGTGCCTTTCAAATTTTATTTTATTCAAGATTGCAACAATGGCACATGTTATTTCTCAACAAATGCCTGATAAATATCAAATATTTGTTATCTTTGGCCTGATTTAATGCAAAAAGTCTAATATAGCATTATTTAAAGTTACCAATGGTTTAATTAGAGAAAATTAACGACCCATAAATTTTGGTATCCAAAAATTTTGATATTCTCATTTTATAAAAGTCTTCTATCAAAAACCAATGACATAGCCAATTATCATGTTATTGAGTATGCATATGACAAGGTGCATTTTGACATCTTGAAATATGCAGGCAAATGGAGGATCTAGAGAAAACATATTGAGTGAGTTATTCCAGACCCAGAAAGGCAAATATAATACTTCCTTCTGTTCATGTGTTGCTTTCATTGGTTAATTAATAAAGAAATTGCTTTGGGCCTGATAGGGCCAAACTTAGGTTGGTGGAGAAGACAGAACTGAATGCTGGGAAGAAGGGAAGAGTGGGAGATGCCATGGATCTCCTGCCTGAGACGGACAGGTTAAAACCTTGTTGGTAAGCCACAGTCATGTGGCGATACACAGATTAATAGAAATGGGTTAAAATAAGATGTAAGAATTAGCCAATAAAAAACTAGAGCTAATAGGCCAAGCAGTGTTTTAATTAATACAGTTTCTGTGTGGTTATTTTGGGTGTAAGCTAGCTGGGCAGCCGGGACAAACTCACTCATAAGTCATAAAGCAAAGAAAAAAACATCCTACAGTCAACAAACCCAGAGTATCTAGACAACAAAGAGGGCCCTAAGTTAGACATACATGGGTCTACATAGGAAAGAGAAGAAGACAAGTTCTCCTGAGTAAATTGGGAGTTTGGGGGTAGAAGAGGAGAGAGGAAGAAGGAAGAGGAGGAGAGAAAGATGTATAGCTCAATAAAAACAAGAAACATGGAAATAGAGACAAAATATTTTCGGAGGGTTCCTCTCTATTGAAATGCAAATTATAGTTTTGATATAATAAAATTGTTTCACTAAGATATTAATAAGTTCATAATGTCAATATGTTTCAAAAATCCAACTCTGGATGGCAAGGGGAAAAGAAAGGTTGTCTGGCAGATTTTTGGAGTACATCATCTGACAAAAATGTTAGTATAGTTGTGCTTCAGGGGACAGTGCCTTTCTGATGCTAGAATTTCCTCTTTACTCATTGCACACAGCTTCAGCTTCTACTCTGCACACCAGCCTCCGTCACAGAACAGAAACCTGAGCACCAGGAGTTCTGAAATTTTGCACCTTGAAATTCTTAGATCAATATCAGAAGGATGAACACTTTTCTGATTTCAAGGTAACAAAATAAAACAAAAACTAGGCAAGTCTTTTGATTGCAAAGTTTGAGGTATGTCTATTGATTTGGACAAGTCACCCCTGGTTGCCACCTGAGTAGTCACATGGCACATGACTGCACATGACTGCACATGAGTTGTATGGATGGAGTGGTGAGGATGGGCTTCATGAAGAGAGAAGGAGTTGTCAGGGGTAAAAACATCTACTAGAGTTTTCAAAGATATGAATGGAGAAAAAGGTTGTACTTTCCTTCTTACTTAGGAAAGAGTTTCACAAAGTATTTTCTTACACTAGTAACTATATCAACATCACCAGGCTAGTGTTAGAGGGAGATATTGGGGGCCTCACTCTGGAAGTCCTGATTAAAATTTAGGATGTGAGCCAGCAGCTATGAATCCCTCAGGTGACTCCAGTTCCCACCTAATTTCACCAACCATCATCTTGGGAGATGCTCGTAACTGTCTATTCTGATGTTCTATTGGTGTGAAGAGACACCATGGCCAAGGCAACTTTTACAAAACAAGACATTTAATTGGAGGCTTGCTTACAGCTTCAGAGAAGGGTTAGTTCATGCTCATCTGATCATCCTGGCGAGAAGGAGCCAGACATGGCCCGGGAACGACATCTGAGAGCTTCATTCTGTTCTGCAGGCGACAGGCAGAGAAAAAGAGACCCAGCTTGATGTGACTTTTGAAACCTTAAAGCCTACTGCAGTGATTCACCACCCTCAACAGGGTTACACCTCTTCCAATAATGCCACACCTCTTCCAACAAGGCCACACCCACTTATCCTTCCTAATCAGTTCACCAACTGGGGACTGGGCATTCAAACATAGGAACTTCTGGGAGCCACTCTCACTCCCTCAAACCATCACAGTAATTAAACCATTTGTGAGAATTCTGAGAGCCTCTCACAGAGAATATTAGGTATCACTCACTAGAACCTCTACATCATCACTCTAGTAAGAAAGGAGCTGCTTTAAAACCTTCATAGGATTAGTATACCATCCTTCTGTTTTCTCGCTCTGCTTTAGAGACTGACAGCAAACTCTGCATTGACTGGGTTGCATGAGCAATGCATCATCCTCTGAATCAATTTTCTGGTCAACTAAGGGTTAAACAACAACAACAAAGAGGGACAGAAAATAGAAACTAAAACAAAATACAAATTAGACTTTGAACAGGGCTCAAACAAATGTGTTTGATTGTGTTTGTTCGTACACTTTAATGCCTCAGCCGAGGAAAGGGAACCTGAATGAACCTCTTTTGGATTAGCAGGTGCTGCTGGTACTCTAGTATATTATTCCAAATATTACTGATTGTTTTATGGTAACAAAAAAATTCCTAAAAGGATTGTGTTTTAATAAATTCTGTTCTTATTTTCCTTTTGTTTAAATCAAAGTACAGAAACAATACTCATTATCTAAATGTCCTATTTAAGTTACATTTTCTCAAGCCATCTGGATGCAATCACTCAGGTACCCTTGTTTCGTAGGACAATGGTTATTATTTTATGAGTGTAACCAGTCATTTAGATCACTAAAAATATATTGAAATTTATTACATGTTTTGTTTACCAATAACTTGAGAGTTTTTCTTAGCTTCTATAAAAAATTTCTTCTCTCTCTATCTCTCTCTCTCTCTCTCTCTCCCTCTCTCTCTCTCTCTCTTTCCCTTTTCCCCTCCCTTCTATTCCTCTATTTCCTTCTTTCTTTTCACCCCAAGATACTAAGCTATTGTAATAATTGAAATATCCTTTTTGTCCATATTAGAATTTCAAAGTCAGGCTTCCTGACATTTACATTTAGGGTTGTCTACTTTCTGACTTATGATACTAGGCAAGTTATTTGCATTAGAAATCCTGGTTCTTCTCATTATGAAACTGAGACTATCAAGGTCACTTTATAGAATTACTGTGACAGTTGTACAGAATTACGCAGAGTTTGGCTCATGATGAGGTCACTTTCCTTGGGCAGATATCAATAGCCACCAATACTGGTCACTTCTCTTTGTGACATATAATCAAGGAAACAAATATGAAAAGCGATAAGGCAGATGCTAATGATTCCTCCTACAGTCGTCGGCTAAGTTATCTGGTAATGAAGTCACTCAGTCGAATATACAAATGGTTTCTGATTCTAATAAGTGTCACTGATAAGCTTCTCTTGCCAGGCAAGACATAAAACACAGTGTGCCTTAACGGACCACCAGAAATAAGCACCATGAGTTTTCATGCTCTAGGTTGAGGAGTATCAGTCAAACATGAATCCAAGAAGTGCTTCCTCATGGGATGTGATTGAAGCTAAAATATGTCTGTAAGAAAAGTTCACAACTTCTTCCTGATGGCAGGGACAATGAAAATGGATGCCTGGTGGCAACTTTAAACAGGAATACACCATGCAGTCATTGGACTGCAGCACCGAGATTGCAATGACATCAGAATTCTTGGCCTGAGAGGAAGCAGAAGTAACCCCGAGGTCTTATCTGCCCAAATTCCCAGTCCAAGGATTTTGTAGAGGAATGTTTAGATGCCCAAACTGGGAGAGTAGAAATAAATCAAACGTAACATCTGTTTTTCTTGCCATCCAATGATGCTGGGTAACATCCAGCTAAGGAGGAGACAAACCTCAGTCCAGCTCTCGCTGCGTTGGGAATTCCAGGTAGATGAATTGTAATTACTTTCCTTGGATCTAGGCCAAGGTGGCTGGTTTATGAGCATCTCGTTTTGGACAATTTGTGCAGTGGGAGAATTAATGGTAAAACTTGTTCATAGTTTACCATTTTTTAATTTTAGTTACCCAATTTTTGATGCTTCACAGCAACAGGAAAGAGAGAAACTTAAGAAGATTTGTTACCATCAGTCCATTTCCAAGTGCAGCAGGTGCGGCTCAGGAGGATTTCGGTAGGTGTCCATCTCACCTGTGCAACTTTAGAGCCATTTAGTGATTATTAGAAGATGAAATCATTAATGTTCATTCTTCCTCATACCTAGGTTCAGAAGGAAACATGACAGCCTATAGAAATACGTATAGCAAAATTAGACATTGAAGTATAAAATATCTTTGGAAGTATAGACAATTCCAGTCATTAGAATTAAACAGATTACATCATCTTGAAAAGAGCAGTAAGTGCCTTAATCACTGAGCCATCACTCTAGATCTAGAAATTTAGAATTCTGTTCTGTGGCTGCAGCACCCAGAAATTTCCTTTTTCTACTTTTAACTAAGTACATAGCAAGTCCTCATAGTTTTGGGTTTAAAAAAATAGTGAACATATGCATCCACAATGATTTTTCTGGCTGTATAAATCAAACAATACCTACTGAGTAAGGCCTTGTACTGAGATTACAAGAGGCAATTTGTACAGCATCCTTACTGAGGTCATGATTCTACACAAGAGATTAAGGACTCAACCAGGATGACCTAGCTGTTGTGTTCTTTAAATAGTTTTGTGGTAGCCTGTAAGTAGGACTACTTTTTTAAAACACAAAAATATCAGAGAAGATGACTCAGAGAGTAATGTGTCAGCTACACCCCACAGGGATCTATGATCAGATTTCCAGCATTCATATAAGAACCGGTAGAGTGGCTCCTGCTATAACCACAGCTCAAAGGAGGTAGAGACAAGAAGATGGTTAGGCCTTGTTTATCAGTCAGTTCCAGCAGAGTCAGAGTTCTAGGTTCAATAAGAGACCCTGTCTCCGAATATAAGGAGAGGGATTGAAGAGGAGAGTGAGGACACCTGATGCTCACCTCTGACCTCAACATTTACACACACACACACACACACACACACACACACACACACACACACACATACATACACATATGTGGATACACACAGATACATATATATATACATACATACATACACACGCATAGATACACACAGACACACAAACATATACACACAATTTCTAAGTATCAGCATGAATGACGTAACAGATTTTCTGAAGACTAGCGTTCTAATGATAAGCAAAACATGGGTGCTGTCTTAAAACCTTCCAACTAACCTATTCACTAAACCCCAATCCAAAACGTAAGAAAGCACCAAATGTGAGGCATGCTCTTCAGGTAAGAAGTTATAAAACATCTAAAGGGCTTTGGCAGGAAGAAGGTGGTGTGGTGTGAAGGCGGAACGTTCATCTGAACACTGTGGTGAATAGAAGAGATGACCCTGGCTGCTGGGCTGGATTTCTGCTGTAGGAGGCAGAAGGAAGGTGTCATTCCAAAAAGAATAAAAAACAAAGTTACCCCACAAATATGGTTACAAAAAGTTTCTTTGGTTTATGTCTTCATGAGGGAGGAGAAGCACATTATATGAGTGATTGCGACTACATTTTATCAGAACTGCAATGATAAATAAGTCTACAGGGAGCCACAGAAGGTCGTAGGGCCTTCGATTCTTACTCAGAGTCGCTTTGGAGGCAAGCTAGAATGCAGAACACTTAGAAATAAACTGACATTAACTGTTCAGATGATAAGAAATACAGACAATATTTGAATATTTTGCTTTTCATTTTAATGGGTTCATGTGTATGGCTGCATGTTCTCATGTGCACAGGTACATGGAGGCCACAATCAACTTCAAGTGCCATTTTCAGGTTACCCAGTATGTTTCATTGGCAGTGTCTTATTTAGGGTGTTTATTGCTATGATTAAGAAAAAAAAAACACCAAGACCAGAAACAATCATGGGGAGAATGGAGGTTGTTTTAGCTTATAGTTGCACATCAAAGTTGATCACTGAGGGAAGTCTAGACAGGAACTCAAGGCAGAAACCTGGAGGCAGGAGGAGAAGCAGTGGAATGTTACCTACTCACTTGTTCCTCATGGCTTGCTCAGTCTGCTTTTCAATAGTCTCAGGACCACCAGGCCAAAAGTGGCACCACCCACAGGGATATGGGCCCTCCTACATCAATCAAGAAAATGACCCACAGGCTTGCTTATGGCCTAGTCCAATGTGAGCACCTTCTCAGTTATAGTTTCCTAGTCTCAAATGATTCAATCTTGCATCAACTTCACATAAGACTAGCTGTACAGAGTTTCTCACCTGTGCTGAAATGCTCTGATTCAGCTATGGTGGATTGTAAGAGCCCCAGGATGCTCCTGTTTCTGCCTCTCTTGTGCTGGGAGGACAAGTATGCACCATCTTGTGAAAAACCACTTTTTTACCTGGGTTCTGGGGACAAACTCTGGTCCTTATGCTTGTGCCCAGCACTTCACCACCTGCATCTGAGCACTGTAATAAGAATAGAATGATTTTTAAAGTTGTTTTTTATTGAGCTGTATATTTTTCTCTTCTCTTCTTCTTTCCTCCTATAATTCCCACTCTCCCAATTTATTCAGATCTTGTCCTTTTAAGTATGAAGTTTTATGGTTACTTGGACATGATTTGGGTTAGTCAGTCTTTAGGTTAAGCATTGATTGTTATTCAAAAAACAAGTGATCTACTGTGACAGTTCCCATGAAAGGGATGAGCCCATTGCTTCATTCCTATCGTTTAGAGAAGGCAACATGAATCCATCGGTAACATTTTTAAAAAATGAGTTATTATTAAAATTATTTTAATCATAAAAAGAAGTACATTCTTGTGATGCTGTATATCCACGTGTCTCATTTTGGTTTCGCTATCTTCATGCTGATATAGGTTCTGAGTCTGATATCTATATGCTTATGATTTCTAGCACAGTGCTTTGAAAAGTTCTTAGTCAATAAGGCAGTATGTTTCAGAAAGGTGATATCAGTTTCATAAGCAAGACATCCATGAGATGACTAGGGAGGGGTTTTACCCCCAGGCAGTAAACTTTCTCATTTTCAGCAAAATCGTAAAGAATACTCAAAATTTAAATTCACACTTCTAAAACTTCTACTTAGCTGTATGCTTGGTATTCTAAATGTGGACACCCTGTAGTAAGCAATAACACAGAAAAGAGGAAAAAGAATGAAGACCCAAGCACACATCTCTTAAAAAAAAACAGCTGTACCTGAAGCCATGGCTACTCCACTGTGATTAAATGTGAGGGAGGTGGCAACGTGGCATGCTTCCAAATAGCCAAGTCTAACTCCAAAGCTAGGGCTTTGCAAAATATAGTTTAATATTTTTAACTGGAATGAAAAATACAGGGAACATATTCTACTTGGGACAGTTATTTAACTAGAACTGTGTTATTATTTCAAGCTAGTTAGGAGTGACTTTATGTAAAGCAATGTTCTCACAAGTGGGCTCTCAGCACCTTTCAGGTTGTTACGGGGCTAAAGGCCTTATTTGGAGCACTTCGCTTCATCTTTGCCAGAGTTTTAGGAGGTGTTAGAGGTGTTTATTGAAATAGGCCGGCACGGTGGCTCATTGGATTAAGGCCCTTGACACTAAGCCTGATGGCTTGAGTTCAATCACTGGGACCCACCTGGTAGAGAATTAACTCCTGCAATTTGTCCTCTAATCTCCACATGTGTGCTATAGCACATGTAGACCCACACATGTACACACACACGAACACACCCTAAACAAATCAGAACATAAATAAATGTAATAAAAATTAAAAGCATTTTGAATAAAGTAGAAATGTATATTTTAGTGTTTTGATTTTTTATTTCTTTCTGAGACAGGGTTTCTCTGTGTAACAGCCCTGGCTGTCCTAGAACTAGCTCTTGAAGACCAGACTGGCCTTGAACTCATGGAGATCCACCTGCCTCTGCCCCCTGAGTGCTGGGATTAAAGACCTGTGCTACCACCACCTGACTTAGTGTTTTGAAATTTAATAACACCTCATAAAATATTTTATTAAAATATTTTATTGAAATAAATACTTTTATTGAAAAACTTAAAGCCATTTGCGCTCCTAGTTTTCAGTGAAAACTCTCTGTAAATAAATGACGTGGTACTTCTTACATGCCATGTTACCAGATGGTGCCATACCACAAAGTAGTTATGTTGGACTAAGAGTCCAAACTTCAGGGAGGAGTTGCTCCAGACAGCACTCACATAACTTCAATTGATGCAAAAGCAAGAAGATTTTTATTCTGTCATGACGGGGCCCTTCAGGTTTGGGATATGAAGGATATTCGATAGCTGTTACAGCCCATCTTTTAAAGCAAAAAGCCATAGACACAAGGGGGGAACCTGTAGGTTGTTTTCCAACTTATTGGATTGTCTTATTCAAGGGTTACAAGCAGTGATTGGTCTATTCCAGGGCAGGAGAATAGCTGCGTGATCAGGTGAGCAAAAGGGAGCATCTATGAGCCATCCCAACCTTGTTTCAGTGACTAAATCAATACATCAGGAACTGAGTCAACATCTGTGGGTTGTCTTTGCCTCAGTTCCCAGAATGAAGTTGTGTTTGAAGATTATTCACAAGGACACAGGAGGATAAGCAGTCCAGCATGTATGTGTGTGTGTGGGGGGGCAACTGTCCCGTTTCCAAGAGAGAGTGAATGTAAGGTTTTAGAAAAATGTCTTAGGGTTGAGGGGGCTTACATATGCATTTAGAGTCTTTCAGTTAGACGTTACTTCACCTAAGGAAAGAATCAACACTTCAGACAGCTGAAGTCTGACCACTGCCTGCTGTGATCATGTTTATAGCTTCTTCCGCATCGTTTTGAGAAGTGCTATCAGATTGATTTTACAGATGAGGAAATTAGTTCAATGAGATTTAATTAACGAGCTGAAGATCATAGATTAAGTCTCATCCCCAGAAAGTACAGGATCTAGGCGAAGGTATGAAGAGAGGGCTTCATGCTATACTGTGACATGTTTAGTAATTATAATTCCAGCAAGAAAAACAGTGCATAAGTATCCCATGCACTTTCACAAGAGGAAAATTAACTGGCACGAGCAATCTGTAATTATAACACTAAAATTTGTCATAATATTAAGATCAAATTAAATCTTTTAATCTCTTTCT